AAATAATTGTTAAAGTTATTACTATAATTGCTAGCAAAATTATTAAATAACTTTTTTAATTGTTAAATTGGAAAATATTTTAGTATAATATAAATGATTTTTTACATAATTTTATTTTTACTTTGTAAAGAAATGGAAAATTAAGAAATATAATAAGGTTATAAACAAGTTTTTAAAATATTTTTTTGGTAATTTATTAATTTGGAAACCTTGTGACAAGGTATTTATAAATCAAGTCAAATCCGATCAGCTTGTTAAAAGTTTTGTTTAAGGTCTAATTTTAACCCCTATCATTTTTTAAAAACTTATATTAAAATATAAAAAAAAATAAAGTTTAAAATTATTCCTTTTTTTTTTAAAGACAAGACTTTATGGCATGATTTTGTCCTTTTTTACATTCATAACTTATAAAGGAAAGAAATTGATTTATGGGCACAATGTAAAGAAGCAACGTCATTACTGATGTGGGCCCGTCACTCAAATAAAATCTTACAACCGGACAGCTAACCGTTTCGACTCCAAACCTCCGTTATCCCCCCAAACATTAAACTTCACTAACCACAATTCATTAACAAGAGCGATTCCAATCGAATCAAATTTGATTTATTTTTTTAATATTATATAATATTATAAAATTTTAAAATTTAATTTAAATTTGAATTAATTTTTAATTTAATTCAATCTAAAATAAATTTTATCATTTTGATATAATTTATTAATTTTTGCAATTTATTAATTTATATATTATTTAAATATAAAATTTTAACATAAAATTATTATTTTTATTTTATAAAAATTTTAAATATATATATAATTCGATTTCATTCAATTTTTTTATTCAAAATTTGATCCAAATTTTTATATATTTAATATTTAAATTTAATATATATTAAATAAAAAAATCTAAATTAAATCAACATTATAATTTGAAATTAATTTTTAATTTTATTGATTTTTTTCTCGTTCCTAACGTCAACTAAACGAACTTCAGAGTTCACACCCAGTCAGTTAACGTTTTCCGTTATAACATACACTTCTTTTTAGTTGGGGTCCCATCTGACATGGACCCGGTCACTCCAAACCCGAGCCACCCGGGATGAAGGGACCTACCTGACGCGTGAACACAAAGACCAAGACCAAGTTCAAAGAAGCTCACCCCGAACCCGTCCCACACTCCCTCCCCCTTTTCCTCGCCATTTCGTTCATTTCCCCCTATATATTTCCTTTCCCTTATCTCTTTCGTATAAACAGATCATATCACAGCAGAGCCAAAAAAAAAAAAAGAAAGGAAGGGAATTTACCTTCCTTTCATCTTTTGGTTTCCCCTAAATCTCAGTTTGTTTTTAGATTTTTGGGGGTGTTTTCGTAAATTAATATGGGGACTGAAGTTTTACGGCCGCAGGATTGTTTGATCGAACGGATCCGGGTTGCTCCAACAGCTTGTTCTCGCCGGAGATATGGAAATGGTGGCTTTAACCCTAATTATTATTATTGTTATTATTATAATAGCAATAGCAACAATGGAAATGGTAGATTTAACAGGAAACCCGTTCAGAGGAAGCGGGTCGGGTCGGAGCAGGTGATTTCGAAGAGATTTAATTCTGCTGATGACTTGAAGACGGTGAGGAACAATGTTATGATGGAGAAGGTTACGATTTTGAGAAAGGGAGAGTCGTTGGATTCGAAGATCAAGAGCAACAACGGTGGAAGGGAAGACGGGTTGGTTGTTTCGGGTGCGGATCCTCAAATAGTCTCAAAACATATCAAAATTGTGGATATTAAGTCTCCGGTGGCCGGAAAATCCGACGTGTACGCCGGATCGGCTTTTGCTGTCTCTCCGGCCCCGAGTTCGCTTCCTTTGCCGTCTTTCTCGAAGAAGAAACAGGTTTCGATTGATGATTCAGCTACTAGGGATCTCAGGCGTTTACTCGGGCTCGATCCCTGAGATCCGAAACCAGATCCGAATTTAGATTTGGGTCCGAGGAAAGCCCTCTCTCTCTATCTCTCTTGATCGTTTCGTCTCTGTTTAGATCTCTCCGGAATTTTCAAGATCCGATTTCCTCCGCGATATTTTTTTCAAAACGGTGGACGGCTTTGGAATTCTGAGAAAATATTAGGGGCGATTAGATAATATTCCTTCTTGTTGTTATATCAGTTTTAACTGTTTAAGGGTTAAAAAAGGATGGGGCTGTCTTCTCTTATGGGTATGATGAAAAAAAAAAGGGGAAAATTAAGGGGGTTGAATTGTAATATTATGGGAATAATAGTTGTTGGCTGTGAAATGTTTTCTGCTCTGTTGTGAAAAAATTGTATGAGAGATATGCAATCTGGTCCCTTTGTTGTCAAGAAAAAGATAAAATTAGGGAGAAAATTGAGCAGATTTCTTTTATAGATTTCCTCTTCTGTTGTAGTTTTGTAAAGAGGGGGTTCTTGAAATCTCCCCTTGTTAATAGATCTCTAGATGTTTAATTTTTATTTCTCTTTCGCTTTTGTTTCTTTCAAGTTTTTTAGATTTGCAATCTGGTCCCTAAGTGGGGCTTCTTAAAAACTGAACTTTAAATCATAAAACAATATGATGGTGAAATCCTTTCATTAGTCATTAGCCTTAAATTTTTGGATACTAATCTTTTTCTGTGATTTTTTTTTTACAACAAAAGTTTAAGAGTAAAGAAAATTATTTTATTTGAGTTATTTTTGATAAAAATTTATGAGAATTCGAGTATGAGTGTTTTGCATCCAAATTTTGACCTTAATTACTTGCATCCATGTAGACATATCTTTCTATGTTTCAAAGTTTCCTTGGTTATTAATTTTTTTTTTTTTACAATTAATTTGTAGATCTTAAATGAAATGGAAAACGTTCTCAGAGTAATTCAGCTACAGCAGCTGCAGTTTAAGCCATGCAAACATAAAATTCTGTCTTGTCCTAATTTGTGCACAAAGGGTAAGGTAATGTCTAGGGATGTAAATGATATATTAGTACTTGTAAATTATTCGGGTTTGATTCGAAAAAAATTTGAATTCGGTTTGATTATTATCGAGTCAAGTTCGAGTTCGAGTATCTCGACTTATCGATCGAATTGAATTTGAGTATTTTTATATCTGACTCGAGTAGTTCGCGAGCCTAATCGAGTTTTTTTATATTTAAATATATTTTTATTATTTTAATTAATAAAATATTTCAAGTCCGAGAGTTCGAGCATGAATAATCGTACTCTTGTCGAGTATACGAATCGAGCTTATTTTTACATATGAATCGAGCTTAATTGAACGAGTTCGAGTAACTCAAATTCGATCATGAATCGAGCTCGAACTAAAAAAATAAAAATTTAATCGAATTCGAACCGAATATTGAGCCTCGAGTTATGAGTCGAGCTCGAGCTTCTCACTATTCGACTCGACTCGACTCGATTACACCTCTAACCATGCGTCATGGGTACTCTATCTTACCTCAATTTGAGCCATGCATGCAACACGCAAAAATCCAATGCTCATAAATTTGAGGACTTTCAATTATTGTTTGCATGCTGATAAATACATGATTTTTTAATATGTGTGATAATTTATGTTATTATGTTGTATAAAATATTATATTGATGTTATATTTTATAAAAAAAATTATATCATAATTTATGTCAGTACGAAAATATAAAATATAATTTTTTAATTTTAATAAATTTATTTTTATATATTTTTTAAAATTTAAATCATATTATTTTCGTCTTTTTTATTTGTATCGTGTTATTATATCATATTTTAAATAATCAAATTTATTTCTTAGAAAAAAATCATCAAAATTTATGGTAAGGATTATATGATAATAAATAGGTTTGATTTAGCCATTATTAACGTTAAAACTTAAAGTTAAATGTAACATTATATTGCGAGTCAATGTTCAATTTTGTTAACATGCTTTCAAATTGATTTTCTAGGTTTAAAATAACAATAAAATTTACCATTTAGGTAAAATTGATGTTGCTGATTAAAACGACGACGGAAGATTGGGGCTATGTGAAAATTATTCAAAGTAGTTGCCAACAAAGGATGTTGCTTCCAAAGTTTAATGCATTGTATAGTACTGCTAGTATTAGTTCTTGACCTTGGACTAGGCTGAGTCAGGTGTGATAAGTCTGTTCTTGATTTTCTTCGTAATTTCCTATAGAAAAGTCTCCATCGTTTTAGGTACAAGGAAAGCGATTCTTTTATTAGGATTCTCAACATTTAGTTTGACTTTTCTAAATAAATTTCTTCAAATTTAATTTTTTAATATTATCTTTTAAAAATCGATTGACAACCTTTTAACGATTTTTTTTTTAGGAATTCATGCAATTGATTGGGAAAGAGTATTTTAATTTTTTTAAGGAGAAAGTTTTCGAATGCACCTAATCGATAGAAGAAAATGCAAATGCGTCCTTGAAATGATTTGAGAAAAAATAAATCGAAAGAAACTCTGAAATAATTCATTGATTTTCTTATATTATTATGCCCATTATATACTTCGAATTCTATTAAACATAAATGTATGCATATCATACATATTATATATGTATATATATTATAATAATATATTGAATAATCTGTACATTAGAAACTAGTTTAATCTATTAATGTTTAAACCTTTAATAAAACAAAGACAACGCAAAGGAGACAAAGCTTAATTTGAAATCAATGATCGTTTAAAGCCAATGCTGGTTAATGTGTCTTAATTTTGTTTACATGTAATATAATAATATCTTTTCAGTTTCATTTAAGATAGGCTTTTTGTTTTATTTTTTAATTTTACTTATTATTAACTCGCTTAAAAGATTAAAAAATAAACAGACCGACTTTTGAATTAGTTGACGTATTATTGAAATTAAAATAATCGTTTGATGATTGTGTGTTATAAATGTTTTCTTCGGAAAGATAAATATTAAAGAATTTAAGGGTAGATTAAAAATTTAAAAAGAGATTGGAAAAAGGAAATGAAGCATCACATTGCACTGTAATGCCAACTCAAATTGTCTCAACTCTCAAAGGGTGCAACTCAAATGCATTATTCAGATCAAAGGAGTGCCACAAACATTATTCAGAACACTCAACTCACTTCAAAACTAGAATTAAGAGCGAGCATAACGTACAGGAATACGCCTCTGAATGGGACTCCTACAAGAAGGACAGTCCTTCATACCTTGTTTCTCATGGAGCTCATTGCATGTAGTGCAAACTACCTGATGAGCACATGGCATGAAAACCACAGACATCTCCTCTGATAGGCACATTACACATTCACGTTCACGTTTCACACCTCCTCTTCCTGGGAAGTCTTGGAAATCTGTCACCACTTCTGAGATAAAAATGGTCTGAGGCTCCTTTTGGGCCGTGCCATATCTGCTATCTGTAAATCTTCCCACATAACTTCCATCAATGCCCCTTCGAAGTGCAGCAATTTTTGATGAGTCTGTCTTCAGTCTCAATTGAGAGATTTCTTTTTCAAGTTTCTGAATATCCTCTTTGTATTTCTGCAAACTGGTTTCTGCTTTCGAATTAAGCATATCTTCCTTTACTTTTGCAGCGGCCTCAATTTGTTCTCTTTCCTTTCTTATTGAACTAGCCTGAGTAAGAACTTCTTCCTTTGCCTTCTCTTCCTGTTGCCATCTAGCCTGTGATAGTTTTCCTTTACAATGAGAACAGGGCCATAGCATAAGCCATAATTAAAAGAAACACCTACTCAGACAGCAAAGGCTCTTCTTTTTTTTTAAAAAAAAACTAGCGGCATACCTCAAAATCCTGATATAAGTGGTGGCTTGATTGAAACCATACAAATGCTATGTTATATCCAATCAATTGAGAACACATAGAAATATTCTTGGAAGAAGCTTGAAAATTTGTGGGAAAATTTGTAAGGTGAACTGAATATGCTAGACGACAACTCCACCAACCAAATGTTAGGACATAATATGAAATAAGAGTTAAGATGTAGCAAATATTAGTTTCTGCCAATTTAGTTTCAGAAAATTTGGCATCAAAGTTCAAACAAAAAATTCTAGTAATAAATATTCTAAAATGAAAAAATTCAGTATAGAATTGGCCCACATATCTGGAGAAATTTTGGTAAAACTATACTCTTCTGGCATGCCATACAATGGACAATCTGAAGATACCCTTTTCTTCGCATTCGCATTACCTTTTACTAGCAAAAACATATCTTTTACATTTTGCATTTGCATGTCATAAAAGTGTAATCAGGTTGATTCTCAGAAATCTGAACTGTTTACATCAAGCAATGGATGCTTTCCTCACCAAGTCTCATTTTTACAAAGCTGTTGGTAGAAATTTATTATAATATATCAAGGATTACCTCTTGTTTATATATGAGGAGAAAATAGGGGGAGAGAAAGAAGAGATAAATAAACGCTTGGAAATTAAACTTTCTTGAAGTCATACCTCAAGCCGTTCTTGGAGAACTTTGGCCTGCTGTAATTCCTGTAACAGTTGAGCAACCTTGCGTTTTTCAGACATGAGCTCTTCCTGGAGCAAGGTTTTCTGCTTCTCCCAAGACTGAACTTTCATCAGTGTTTTCTTCTCCCTCTTTGATACCTCCAGACAGCTAGCTGCTGACTCTGCTGCACGTAATTTTGCAGCCTCCATCTCCTGCCGTAGTGCTGCATTTTCCACCTCAAGCCTACGGACAGTAGCATTAGCATGTTCCACCTGCCCACTAGCCTTCAACAATGCACCGTCCATCTCAATGAGCTTCTTCTTAGTGTTTTCTTCCAAACTCAGCTTCTCTTTCTTAAGCCGTTCAACTTCTTCTCTCTCTTGCCTCAAAGTCTTAAGTTCAGCTTTGTCTTTACTTAGTCGACGAGCAGCCTGCATAACCTTTTGATTGGCCCACTCTGTCCATTCCTGAAGCTGATTTTGTAGTTCCCGCACCCTAGGAACCAGCTTCAGAATCATCTCATCCTTCTTATCCTGTGGGAACCACTGCCCCAGGGATTTATCATATGGCATCCCAGCATAGCTCAAATAAGCAGGCTCAGAATGAGAAGCAGGAGGCACTACAATCGAATTGCTTTTGGTCGTCAATGAGAGGGAAAGCTCAGTATCAGCCGTTGATAATGCAGGTGGGTTATTGATAGGTGGTAATTCGGGTGGCATATTTACTGGAGAAGTGGTTGCTATATTGGTCTTAGGCACTGCAGAAATGTTATTAACGTTATCTAAGCAAAATGTTTCAGAAGAAGAGGGTTCCGGATTGACTGAAAGATTGTGACTCCCATTATCTTGAGGAACATCAGCTCCCATTGCCTTAATTTTCAAGGATGCATTTTTTACATTAACAGTGGTGGAGTCAGAGACAGATTTTAGTTTCTTGTCCAAGATTAAACCTCCCAAACCGCTTAGTTTAGCTCTCGATGACCCTTTAGATCCATATGTCCTGTAGTTTTTCTCCAGATGAAGTGACTTCTGCCGAAGAATATATTCTCTTTTGGTAGAGTGAATCTTTCTACTACCCACAAACTTGTCTTCCAGGGTTGAAGATTGAGATGTTCCTGCCGCACTGAAAATTTTATCTGCACTATCAGAAATGGAGTTCGTTCCCTCTTTCTCTGAGACTATACCACTTAGAACAAGGGAATTCTTAGATTTTACTGTGTTATTGATTCCCATAGATGGAACCTCTGGCACAGAACTATGAGAACAAGGAATGGAAGGAACAGGTTTACAAGGATTTGGAAGATTCAATTCAGAAGTTTTGGCTTCTGTCTTCAACTGGGGTTGGTTAGGAGTAAAAGAACTCTCAGTAGAAGCTTCATCGCCAACAAAACCACCCAATGGGTCACCATCCATAGCACAAGCGTGTGACACATTCATGTCACAAATCAACAAGCACCACATTGCATCCCCAGTGCTGAAGAAAGGCCTAACTTCTCGAAGAAAACAAACCAGTTCAGCTAATATATACTTCTCCAGCTCCTGTAGATCCTCAAAACAGTGGTCCCTTGAAGGATTAGCATCTTGGCCACTACTAAGAAATGCTAAAGTATTATCCACTATATTTGAGACAGTGTCTTTACAACCATAATAAAGGCCAGACCTCAAGACTGCCTTAGTAGCAATTTCTTCCGTGTAACCAGAAGCAACAATTTTCTTTATTGCACTTTTGAACATTGCATCCAAATTGCTCAAAACAAGTTCTTCTAGCTGAGCTTCCGTGAGATCACTCCAGTCAGCATCTTGAGATTCATCTGTTTCTAGTTCTGCTCTAGGCCCGCTTGGACCAACCTCAGAAGAACCTATCATGCTAGATAATCCCAGGTCAAGTTTTAATCCATCTGAATGATCTTGGTTAACACCACACAAGTCACAAACACTAGCTTGACCATGGACTCTGGTGAATTCAACCTTCTCAGCGCAAAATTCATAACTTGGACACCCATTTTGAGGTGAAGTTATAATCTTATTTGGATCACCTATAGGCGGATCAGCCCGAAACTTTCTCTTATTTCCACTACCTTTTTCTTGAATTGATATCAACGGAGACACTTGATTGCCACTACAACTACTACCACCTTTAAGAATCACTGATGCCATTTTTAAGCTGCATCCAAAACAATAACAATCAAAATACATTTATGAAACTATTTATCAATCCTCAATGCAAAATCTAAACTACCCAATGACCCATTTCACCCCACACAACAAAAATTAAAATCCAAAATCCAAAATTCCAATTTGAACTGATTACATAATCAGCTCATTAGATCATTCGCTAGCAAACAAAAAATAGTAAAATATCATATTATACCATTCAAAAAAGGGACAAAAATCGTACCTTTATATCTCAAGTATCAAAATTGACAATACGAAAAATAAAAAAATCTGCAACAAAAAGGAAAAATTCAATCAATTAATAATAATAAAAAAAAGAGTACCCAGATTCCAAAATTCACTAATCAACGCATTCACCAAATACCCACTCTGTAAAACGGAAAATTTTCAATCTATCAATTTTAAATATATAATCTAATCTATATTAAAAACAAGTCAATAGATAAAAAATCCAAAAATGAAATCGATTGAGTCACTGCCGAGGTAATAAAATATCCTTTTATTTGATTTACGATCAGCTTTCGATGATCGAAAAACATACCCTGGTTGTAACCTTAATTGTTGGAGCAAAAATCAAAGGTAAGACGAATCTCAGAGCATCGGTGAAATGGAAGAGAAAATATATATGAGACAGACCTTCTTTTTTTTTTTTTTTTGGCTTATTTTTATTTTAGTTTTTTGGTTTTTTTTTTCTATTAATTTTATGGAACCATGGTTTACTAATTCAATTTCCTAAACTAACCATGGTTAAGGAAAAATTAGGCATGGGTTTGAATTTTTGTTATTTTGTGGAAAAAAAATGGAAAATGAATCAAGGAAAAAAAATGAAAAACACTAAAGATACTTAAGATTTTTTTTTTTTTTTGAGAAAATACTTAAAAAGATGGTTTATGTATCTCAATTCCATTTGAATTTCAATTTGTTTTTTAGGTTACATTATGAACTTGAATTTGAAATCTAAAGAGAATAATTAAAATCAAATTACATTAATAAATTATAGGTAGAAATAATTAAATTAAAACATTTTTATTATACAATCAAAGATATATGACATATTTCAAGTAGAATGTCAGTTTTACTTATATTTAATAAAAAAACTTAATTTTTTTATTTGAATTATCTAAATAAATATGAAGATATGTATTATATTATGAGAATGAAGGTAGTGATAAGTATGATTTTAAATTTTTATTGGGCATGAGAATTGAGACGAGTAATATAAAACCTACCTAGGGAAGGTTAAAAGACCCGAACCCGTCGGGTTTTGACCAAAGGGTCGGTTTTTTTATTTTTTTAAATCGAGTATCTGGTCGGGTAGGGTAAAAAATTTTCGGGTTCGGGTTGGGGTCGGGTTTTAGGCAAACTCGACCCTACCCGACCCGATATATATAAAAAAATTATTTTTTTAATTATTTTTTAATTATTTTTTAATTATTTTTTTAATTATATATTTAATTATATATATTTAATTTTATATTTATATTTAAAATAATATTTTATTAATTTTGGATCGGGTCGGGTCGGATTTAATTTTATATACTGTCGGGTCGGGTCGGGTTCGTGTATTAAAAATAAAAAAATTTGGGTCGGGTACGAGTACAAGTTCGGGTATTATATATTTAAAATCGGGTCGGGTTCGGGGCGAGCAAAAACTCGCCCCGACCCGAACCGTTGCCATCCCTAAACCTACCTTGTATCTGTATTATATATATTTATATATATTTAGTAAATAATTTTTGCTTACATAATAGAAATTATTATTTTAGATTAATTAAAATTAATATATTTTTTATTAAAAATTATATATTAATTTATATTTATTTGTAAGATAAAAATAAAAAAACCCAAAAAATTGGTTATTATTATATTTTAAGAAGCTATAAGTATGAAGATTATCTATACACATTAAACATCCACAGGGATGGGGATGTCTTTGAAATACTCATTGGGTAGGGATATGAAAACAAGTATAATATAAAAGTCCGGGAATGAAGATGAAGAATGCTCAATGTATTCCATATCTTACTTATTGACATCCTTATTTCAAACTTTGTTTAGATTTAATTTTCGTTTTGAACGATTTTAAATGTGTATACCTGTTTTTGGACATGGTATATTCATAATTTTATTTTTAAACTATTTTTCATAAACATTAAATATGAAATAAAAAAAAAAAAGAGTTTCTATCTTTATTAATTAAACTAATCCTTGTAAGTATTGATTTTTAGATTATGATTTACAATAATTTATCTTTTTCTTTAGTTCCAATGTCAAACACCATGTTAAAATATCTATTCCATCTTGCAAATCTAAGCTCATCCTTGTTAATACAACAATAATAAAATCTTAAGGGGCATTTGATTCGTCGAATCTTAGATTTCAGAAGAAAAAGTGATTCTTGAGAAAGTGTGCATTCTTAGCAATGGGTGATTCTATGTGGTATGAGAATGTTAAATTCATGTATTTGATTTGAAGAAAAGTCAAATTAGTTAAAAAAAAGGGTTTTTTTTTACAATAATGTGTTTTATTACATGTCAAATACATAGTTTTTGTTAAATATAATATTAGTGTTCTACTAACAAAAATTGATTCAAATATAGTTTTTTTATTAAAGAAAATAAAAAAATATAGTGAAATAGTACATTAATAGAATAAAAACTTCATGATTGTTTAAGAGAAAAATAGATACTATGACATTTCCATGTTGGAAAACATCATATTTAATATATAAAAAAAATGAAAACAAATACTACAACATTTCCATGTTGGAAAACAACATATTTGATATAAAAAAAAATGAAAAACAAATACTAAGACATTTTTATGTTGGAAAACATCGTATTTGATATAGAAAAAAAATGAAAAACAAATACTATGATGTTTCCGTGTTGGAAATGTCGTATTTGATATAGGAAAAAAAAAGAAAACAAACACTATGATGTTTCAATGTTGGAAAACAAAGTATTTTAAATAGAAAAAAAAATTAAAACAACTACTATAATGTTTCTATGTTGGAAAACGTCGTATTTGATATAGGAAAAAAAATAAAACAAATGCTATGACGTTTTAATGTTGGAAATTGTCAAATAAAACAATGCTGAATTGTTGGCTCGTCCTTTAGTCATATATTCAAATGTAATAGTGATGTTGAGCAGATGAAATTTGCTCAACTCATTTATCAGATGAATTTAATATATGCATAGGAATCTTTTTTTGTGTATTATTAAAATTGTTTATTCATGTGTTTATTGAATTTGTTTTTTTTATAGAAAATAAAAAAAAGCCTAACAAAAAAGAAGGGCTGAGAAAAAGTACAATCATCGAGCATTATGAAAATGGTATGCAAATACCAAGCATAAACTTATAAGTATATTTGATTATGTATTATACAGATAGTTTTACGCTTTTTAAATTTAATTACTTGCTGTGTTGCCAACTTATATTTTAATATAGTTTCAGGAAATATCCAACCCAAGCAATGAAATATTAAGATTGTATGTTTGAAAAAAAGCACATTTATCAAAATTCAAAAAATATGAGGATGAAACAACTAAACAAATGGTTAAAAAGATTATAAGTTCATATCGTATTTATATCTTGTTTGATACTTCGCCATTTATGTATGTTAATATATCATATTTAATTACGTTTGCATGTTGTGTTATAGGATGACATAGTTATGAGATTCACATCCAGTGATTTTGCAACTGGTGAAAGCAAAGATGTGATGACTTTAGCTTTCGGATCAAAAGACATACCTAGTTATGTTAGGGAGGTTAGGCACTTTGTAACTCCAACAAATTATTTCAAGACTTAACCTAAACCCCGCACCTCTAAAACTATTGAATATATATCCATAATAGCTCAATAAAATCAATGAGTTGCTAAATTGAAGGCACATTTGGTAGCAATTCAAACTAACATGATAGGTTAGTCTTTTACCGATAATGTTAAAAATGAATTCGTGGATCAAGTTTTTAAGCAAACCCCTTATCTGGTAATACACGTTCTAAACTCTTGTCATTTGATTTTTTTTTATTTGATTTTATATGAAAACTTTTGAATTTTGTATGTAATAGGTTTTTGACCATAAGATGATTATAAATCCATCTGCAGAATCTAGAATCCATACACTATCCAATCATGTTTAAAACCATTTAATAGATGGATCGATTATAAACATCGATCTCGATGATGGACTATTTGATTATCCCTTAATGTCATTTATTGGTCAAAATGAGATTTTTTGATTTTGTCTAAAGAAAGACAAAAGACTAATACATACAAATTCATTAACCTATTTTGTATAAGTAATGGTGCGAGCTCTGTACTTGTGTAACTGCTTTGGCACAAGCAATGCAAAAAAAGTCGCAATACTTTCTAGCGCTTTATAATCCTGGGTATGTGCTAAATTTTTACTTTGTTCATTACTTGATTATGCTGAATAAACGAATTTGCCTATTGTTACAAGTGTTACATTCTAACATTGGAATCGATGTTATTATTTTCAAAGATCATTGTTAGCTGCTTTTCATTGACTATGCAACCTTTATAGTATTTTTTTTTAACTCAAGAAAAGAAGAGTCAAAACCATTACAAGAACTAGCTAATATAATAAAAAAGTATTCATATTTGTTATGTCAAATAATTTATGTTATTTTTATGGTTTATTTATGAGTATAATTTATGTTTATTGATTCATTTGTGTTGTTTAAGGGGATTGGCTATCCATGATAAAAAGAAAAAAAATTAAAGTGGGTTACATTTCCAGTAAATTTATTTATTTTATTTTCAAAGAATTGCTTAGAGTTTAAAAGCACTTTGACCACCTAACAATGATTTGCAGGTTCCTCATTGGCCAAGAACGACTAAATGTGAATATTATGTTATCTATTTCATTAAAAGATCGCTAATAACAATCTCTTTAGTATACTAGATAAGGTAGCATTAATAACAATATATAGATACTTGTTTCAAAATACCATACATTATAAAATGCATATTGAATGACAATTATTCAAAATTATTTTTTTAGTTGGCTTAAAAGGAACAATTCACATAAGAGGAAATTGATAAAGTTTGTTATTAATAGTGTGACTGCGTATCTAGATTTATAGAGTGAGGACAGAGGAGATTGAGTCATTTCCCTATTTTGGTTTATGTAAAGTTGTAAATTTATGTATAAAATTCCAAATTCTTTGTACTTCATATGATTCTATAGCTTTTCATTAATACAATTCATAATTGTTTCATTTATACAGTGCGAATTTGTTCATATATACAAGTCTAAATTGTATCACTTACACAAGTCCAAATTTGTTCTATTTATACAAATAAATTTTTTTCATTTATACAAGATGAACTTTTGTCATTCATATGTGGTTCGTATCCAAATTCAATCTATGTAATTATGATATACATATAATACAAAACATTAGAATGTAATTACAAAATGCCAATATATATAATTCTAATAACAAAACTAACATGATCCATTAGAATCTGTAATTTTTATATTTAAGCTAAAACCATATCTATAAATGAAAAATTGCAACTCAACAATACAAAACATATGAATGTTGTCAATAATACAAATAAGCTACATGTGTCATATAAGAGAAAAATCAAATGATGGTCGATAGGTATTACATCATGCAATTACTTTTGTATGTAATCTTTTCTAAATCTATGTGGTAG